AAGAAAGAAAAAAAAACAGTTCAAACCTTCCCATAACTTATCTTTCATTTGCTTGTTTCCCTGACCTCCTCACACCTCCGTTTTTTGTATTCTAGGTCAATTATCCATTTCAGCAAATCCTTTCCCTCTCTTCAAAATTTTTATCCTGAAAATTTATCTTGATCTTGATATAAGTTTACTTTCCCTCTTTTCACCAATTAACAGTCTATTTTTCTTTAACTCTTTGATACATTTTTGCTAGAATCACCTAGAATCATTCCAACATCATTCTAACATTCATTAATTTTACAATGTTTCTGTAAATAGTCTTTAAATTTCTTCCAATCTTCCTCCACCGACTCTTCTCCCTGGTCTCGGATTCTGCCAGTCATTTCTGCCAGTTCCATATAGTCTATCACCTTCATCTGCCATTCTTCCAGAGTGGGTAGATCTTGTGTCTTCCAGTACTTTGCAATAAGTATTCTTGCTGCTGTTGTGGCATACATAAAGAAATTTTTGTCCTTCTTTGACACCAATTGGCCGACCATGCCCAGGAGAAAGGCCTCTGGTTTCTTCAGAAAGGTATATTTAAATACCTTTTTCATTTCGTTATAGATCATCTCCCAGAAAGCCTTAATCCTTGGGCATGTCCACCAAAGGTGAAAGAATGTACCTTCCGTCTCTTTACATTTCCGACATTTATTATCGGGCAAATGATAAATTTTCGCAAGCTTGACTGGTGTCATGTACCACCTGTATATCATTTTCATTATATTCTCTCTTAAGGCATTACATGCCGTGAACTTCATACCTGTGGTCCATAACTGTTCCCAGTCAGCCATCATAATGTTATGTCCAACATCTTGTGCCCATTTAATCATAACAGATTTTACCGTTTCATCCTGAGTATTCCATTTCAACAGCAAATTATACATTCTTGACAAATTCTTAGTTTTGGAATCTAACAGTTCTATTTCCAATTTTGATTTTTCCACCTGGAAACCATTTTTTTTATCCAAATTATATGCCTCCATTATCTGATAATAATGAAGCCAATCTCGCACTCTATTTTTTAATTTTTCAAAACTCTGCAGTTTTAATCTGTCTCCCTCTTGTTCCAAAATTTCCCAATATTTCGGCCATTTAGCCTCCATATTGAGCTTTTTCTGAGCCTTCGCTTCCATTGGTGACAACCACCTTGGGGTTTTATTCTCAAGCAAATCCTTATATCTTATCCAAACATTAAACAGTGCTTTTCTGACAATATGGTTTTTAAACGCTTTGTGTGCTTTAACCTTATCATACCACAAATATGCATGCCACCCAAAAACATTGTTAAAGCCTTCTAAGTCCAACACATCGGTGTTCTCAAGAAGCATCCATTCTCTCAGCCAGCAAAAAGCAGCTGATTCATAGTAAAGTTTAAAGTCTGGCAGGGCAAATCCACCTCTTTCCTTAGCGTCGGTTAATATCTTAAATTTTATTCGAGGTTTCTTGCCCTGCCAGACAAATCTAGAGATATCTCTCTGCCACTTCTTGAAACACTCCGTTTTGTCCAATATTTGCAATGTTTGAAACAAAAACAACATCCTTGGCAATACATTCATCTTTATCACAGCAATTCGGCCTAGCAATGATAACTTCAGATTTGACCATATTTCTAGATCTTTTTTCACTTCCGTCCAACATTTTTCATAGTTGACAACCATATGTCAGGAGTGCTCTGATGGTGTTTCCTGCTTGGCAGGGGGTTGGACTCGATGGCCCTTGTGGTCTCTTCCAACTCTATGATTCTATGATTCTATGATTCCATCCTTGCAGAGAAAACATTTGGTCAGTTTGGGAGTCAAAATGGTTTCAGGACAGTCTTCCTGTGCTGATCTATGTACGTGCTTGGTTGGTACATTTATGAACATCTATTATATATCTAAGACCTTAAAATTCTTAAAACAACACTTGCAGTAAGATCCTGTATGCGGGTTTCACAGAGGTATCTGGTTGGCCAATGTGGAAGACAGGATGCTTATGGCCTGATTTAGCAGGCTATTCTTATGTTCTTATAGGCCAAGGATGGAGAACCCTTTTGAGCCTGAAAGCCGTGTTCCTTCAAGGGCAATCGACCGAGGGCCCTCATGTATGTTTTAAAGTATGGCTTTTCTTGACTTTGCTGTTTTGTTTTTTCGCAATCAAGTTGTTTATCGGTTTTCTGAAATAAACACCAGTGGCAAAAATGAGTGGAACAAATGGTGTGACTCCTACCTTCCTTTCCACCCATGAAAACACAAGAGATTTCTATCCACAGATGCCAAATACTCATCTATCTATCTATTGTCCATATAGGCAAGGAAGAGGAATAATCACAGCTGAGGCTTGTCTTGAAGCAAAAGCATTCAAGAAGCAGGCGTGCTGAGGAGTGGGGCCTGCAAAGTCGCCCAAGGGCCCCATAGAGAGAGCTGCTTTAGGCCCCTGGGTTTGAGCTTCCTCACCCAAGCCACAGGCCTTCTTACAAAGCTGCAGATGTTTAAGGTGGGAGCCTGGACAATCTGAAAAGAGATCCCTGAAAGGGTATGCTGACCTGTAGTGGCATTCCAACAGAACAATGGCTTTGGCCATCTGGGGAGGAATGCAAAAGTGAGGTTAACCTTGAGTCAGAGCGACAAATGAATCCATACTCTAGAGCTCTAGCTCTCTTTCAAATCAGAACCAGTGAAGGTCCTGTGTGAGTGTCTGGAGGTGGTTGGAGGATGGATGGCGGCTAACAGATTGAGGTTGAATCCTGAGACAGAAGTACTGTTTTGGGGGGGACAGGAGGCGGGCAGGTGTGGAGGACTCCCTGGTCCTGAATGGGGTAACTGTGCCCCTGAAGGACCAGGTGCGCAGCTTGGGAGTCATTTTGCACTCACAGCTGTCCATTGAGGCGCAGGTCAATTCTGTGTTCCCTGCCCGCAGACTGTCTTGGCAGAGTGGTGCATGCATTTGTTATCTCTCGCTTGGATTACTGCAACGTGCTCTATGTGGGGCTACCTTTGAAGGTGACCCGGAAACTACAACTAATCCACAATGCGGTAGATAGACTGGTGACTGGGAGCGGCTGCCGAGACCACATAACACCAGTCTTGAAAGATCTACATTGGCTCCCAGCACGTTTCTGAGCACAAATCAAAGTGTTGGTGCTGACCTTTAAAGCCCTAAATGGCCTTGGCCCTGTATACCTGAAGGAGCATCTCCACCCCCATCGTTCTGCCCAGACACTGAGGTCCAACGCCGAGGGCCTTCCTGTTCCCTCCCTGCGAGAAGCCAAGTTACAGGGAACCAGGAAGAGGGCCTTCTCGATAGTGGCACCCGCCCTGTGGAACGCGCTCCCACCAGATATCAAAGAGAAAAACAACTACCAGACTTTTAGAAGACATTTAAAGGCAGCCCTGTTTAGCGAAGCTTTTAATGTTAAACAGACCACTGTATTTTAATACTTTGTTGGGAGCCGCCCAGGGTGCCTGGGGAGACCCAGCCAAATGGGCGGGGTATAAATAAATTATTATTATTATTATTATTATTATTGACCTTCCAAGTGCCCCTATTTTCCAGGGACAGTCCCAGATTTACAGAAGCCGTCCCAGTTTCTGATTTGAGCCTGGAATGTCCCCATTTTCCTTAGGATGCTGCTATTTTCATCGGAGAAATGTTGGAGGGTGTGGAGTTATGTGACCCCACTAGTCAAGGAGATAATTAACTATACAACCTTTGGAAGACTTCTGAAGGCAGCCCTGTGTAGGGAAGTTTCTTAATGTTAATGTTTTATTATATTTTTATATATGTTGGAAGCTGCCCAGAGTGGCTGGGGCAACCCAGTAAGATGGGTGGAGTCTAAATAACATTATTATTATTATTATTACCGAATAGGATGTCCCTATTTTCATCTGAGAAATGTTGGAGGGTATGCTCTAAGACAGCGATTCTCAACCTGTGGGTCCCCAGATGTTGTTGGACTACAACTCCCATCTCCCCTGAGCTCTGGCCTTGCTAGCTAGGGGTGATGGGAGTTGTAGTCCAACAACATCTGGGGACCCACAGGTTGAGAACCGCTGCTGTAAGAGATCCAACAAAGGTGTCCCACATCTCAAATATGAATACATATGAATTATTGGTGAAAGGCTCAGCATAATGGAATCCTTGTGGGCATGTGGTATCAAGGTGGGCAGTAATTCGTATCGTCTTAGGCACATGCGGCACTTTGTAACCTGTGCCTTGCCTATGTATCAATCCGATTTGCTCATGACGGCCTTTGGCAGAATCCGTGCTGGGAGTCTGATTCCTTTGCCCAGGAGGAACGAGGGCCAGGACAAACTGTCTTTTCCCCCCAGTGCTGTGAACCAATTTGAACTGGTTTGGAAACTGCACTGCAGAAGTGCTTTAAATAAAAGAGCTTTAAAATAAATTGAAAAGGCTTCATTCATATCATATATCATATCATAGGAGCCTACAGGACCGCCTCTCCTGGTAGTGCCCCGCGGAGGACCTTAAGGTCCACAAATAACAACATTTTGAAGGTCCCAGGTTGCAAGGTGGTTAGATTGGTCTCAACCAGGGCCAGGGCCTTTTCAGTACTGGCTCCGACTTGGTGGAATGCTCTGTCACAAGAGACTAGGGCCCTGCGGGACTTGACATCTTTCCGCAGGACCTGTTCCACCTGGCCTTTGGTTTGGACTCAGTCTGACCCTTATGTTTCCCTCCCCTTATGGTTTTGATCTATGGGCTACTTTTAAAATGAGGCTGAATTTTAAATTGCATTTTAACTTGTATTTTAAATTGCCCCCCCCGCCCCCATTATGTTTTTGCTGTAATTTTACTGGTGTTAGCCGCCCTGAGCCCGGCTCTGGCCAGGGAGGGCAGGATATAAATAAAAATTATTATTATTATTATTATTATTATTATTATTATTATTATATCATATCCTAGAATTGCAGAGTTGGAAGAAACCACAAGACTGAAACAACCCCCCTGCGATGCAGGAATCTTTAGCCTGTAATAGGGATTGAACCCACAACGATGAGATTAAGAGTCTCATACTCTACCAGCTGAGCTTTCCCAGATCATATGTCACAGAAAGAAAAAAACAATTGATACAAGAATGTATGGAAGTATCTTATATTGCTTTTGTGTGTGTGTGTGCATATTTTCACTTTTATGTCTCTTGTTGTTGTTTTTCTCCCTCTCACTTTCCCTTCTTCTTTCTGTATCTCTTTATTTCTTATAACTGAAATCATCTTAATAAAATATAAATTTTTTTTTTAAAAAAAACAAACAAACCAGAATGCTCAAATGATAAATAAAATGGTTAAGAAAGGAAGCGTTTTTCAACCTGTGGTGGTGTAGTGGTCTATGTGTCAAAGTAGAACCTGGGACACCAGGATCTTTCTACGTGGGTCAATTATAATGTTATAAATGTGCTATGTGGGGACGCGGGTGGCGCTGTGGTTAAAACCTCAGTGCCTAGGACCTGCCGATCGAAAGGTCGGCGGTTCGAATCCCCACGGCAGGGTGAGCTCCCGTCTTTCGGTTCCAGCTCCTGCCCACCTAGCAGTTCGAAAGCACCCTTAAGTGCAAGTAGATAAATAGGTACCGCTTTATAGCAGGAAGGTAAACGGCGTTTACCTTGTGCTGCACTGGTGCTGACTTGGCAGAGCAGCTTCGTCACGCTGGCCACGTGACCCGGAAGTGTCTCCGGACAGCGCTGGCCCCCGGCCTCTTAAGTGAGATGGGTGCACAACCCTAGAGTCGGTCACGACTGGCCCATACGGGCAGGGGTACCTTTACCTTTACCACTGGCAAAACTCCTTTGCTGCTGAAGGCATGCTGATGGAATGGCCAAAAGCGGGAAGAGTCGTGGTCAACATGGAGAAGGGGCACCCTCATGCTATATCTTCTATTTCTTGGGACGCGGGTGGCACTGTGGGTTAAACCACAGAACCTAGGACTTGCCGATCAGAAGGTCGGCGGTTCGAATCCCCGCGATGGGGTGAGCTCCCGTTGCTCGGTCCCTGCTCCTGCCCACCTAGCAGCAGTTTGAAAGCACGTCGAGGTGCAAGTAGATAAATAGGTACCACTCCAGCGGGAAGGTAAACGGCGTTTCCGTGCGCTGCTCTGGTTCGCCAGAGCGGCTTAGTCATGCTGGCCACATGACCCGGAAACTGTACACCGGCTCCCTTGGCCAATAAAGCGAGATGAGCGCTGCAACCCCGGAGTCAGCCACAACTGGACCTAATGGTCTGTGGTCCCTTTACCTTTACCACTGGCAAAACTCCTTTACTGCTGAAGGCATGCTGATGGAATGGCCAAAAGCGGGAAGAGTCGTGGTCAACATGGAGAAGGGGCACCCTCATGCTATATCTTCTATTTCTTGGGACGCGGGTGGCACTGTGGGTTAAACCACAGAACCTAGGACTTGCCGATCAGAAGGTCGGCGGTTCGAATCCCCGCGATGGGGTGAGCTCCCGTTGCTCGGTCCCTGCTCCTGCCCACCTAGCAGCAGTTTGAAAGCACGTCAAGGTGCAAGTAGATAAATAGGTACCGCTCCAGCGGGAAGGTAAACGGCATTTCCGTGTGCTGCTCTGGTTCGCCAGAGCGGCTTAGTCATGCTGGCCACATGACCCGGAAGCTGTACACCGGCTCCCTTGGCCAATAAAGCGAGATGAGCGCTGCAACCCCAGAGTCGGCCACAACTGGACCTAATGGTCTGTGGTCCCTTTACCTTTACCACTGGCAAAACTCCTTTACTGCTGAAGGCATGCTGATGGAATGGCCAAAAGCGGGAAGAGTCGTAGTCAACATGGAGAAGGGGCACCCTCATGCTATATCTTCTATTTCTTGGGACGCGGGTGGCACTGTGGGTTAAACCACAGAACCTAGGACTTGCCGATCAGAAGGTCGGCGGTTCGAATCCCCACGATGGGGTGAGCTCCCGTTGCTCGGTCCCTGCTTCTGCCAACCTAGCAGCAGTTTGAAAGCACGTCAAAGTGCAAGTAGATAAATAGGTACCACTCCGGCGGGAAGGTAAATGGCCACATGACACGGAAGCTGTATGCCGGTTCCCTCGGCCAATAAAGCGACATGAGCACCGCAAACCCAGAATCGGTCATGACTGGACCTAATGGTCAGGGGTCCCTTTACCTTTACCTTTACCATACCAGAAACCCCAGCTCTTGCAAACCCAAGGAATGAAAGACAGCCAATAGTTTAAGGGCTGACCCATATTTATTTATTTATTCATTTAGAGAGACAGCCTATCTTTGTGGAGCATCAAAGAGATGGATCTGGCATCTGAAACTCCTCTCCTTATGGGCTCCTGGGTGCTCACGCTTTGTAGTGCCTGTACGGGTATTTTTGTGGAGGCTGTGGAGCAGGATGGTGATATTTCGGAGGTGGTGGTGGTGGTGGAGGAGGAGGAGGAGGAGGAGGTGGAGGAGGAGGAGGAGGCGGTGGTGGTGGTGGTGGAGGCGGTGGTGGAGGATGATATTTCGGACGTGGCTGTGGTCGTGCGATGCAGCAGTACCCCCCACTGGCAGCGCAGGCGCAGTTCACCTGTGCAGTCTCATAGTACCTGCATTTGGCGCTACAGTAGCCATAACAGTGTTGGTTGCAATGCCTTTTGACACCTGCAAAAAAGTAAAGTCTGAGGTTAGGCTAGGGAGAGTAAATTCGTTAGTGGAGGGAGAAGGGGTTCAAGACCTCCATAGGCACTGGATTTAGGCCATAATATACAACTGGAAGATTGGGGAAAGATGTGGAAGGTGAATTTAAAATTGACAGATTGTATCTTATTGAAATGGAATCTCATGAAAATGATGTGTATTACGCCAGAGAAAGTGGCAAAGATGTATAAAAAGGGATCTAAAACATGCTGGAAGTGTAAAGAAAAAGCTAGTACATTTTATCATATGTGGTGGGAATGCAAAAAGGTTAGAAATTATTAGGAAATGATATATAATGAATTGAAAAAAAATGTTTTAAAAGACTTTTGTTAAGAAGACAGAAGCATTCCTCCTAGGAATTTTAGATCAAGATTTAAAAAAAGGAAACTGGAAATTATTTATGTATGCAACAACAGCGGCAAGGATTATATTAGCACCAGCAAAAGAACAATGGGAAGGGAAACTTATGGAATATGCAGAACTGGCAAAACTAACCGATAAATTTCATGAAAAGGGTAACAAAGACTTTAAAAGAGAATGGGAACCATTTACAACATATATGAAGAAGCAACATAAAGAATTGGACTCACTGGCAGGGTTTGAATAATCAAACTTCCCAAACTTGGGTCTCCAGCTCTTGTTGGACTACAATCCCCATCATCCCTGACCACTGGTCCTGCTAACTAAGGATGCTGGGAGTTGTAGTCCAACAAGAGCTGGAGACCCAAGTTTGGGAAACCCTGACTTAGAGCATTTTCTCTGGTTTGTGAATGCTGTGTACACTCCTCTCTCCTTTTATCTTTCCAAGTTTGGGAAACGCTGCTTTACAGGACTCAACCTTAAAGGCTGCCCTGAGCAGGGGTGAGGAACCTGTGGTCCTCCAGTTGTTCTTGGACTGCAACTCCCAGTGGTAATGGATGATGGAAGTTGTAGTCCAACAACATTTGGAGGGCTCCGGGTTCCTCACCCTTGCTCAGGACAGCAGTTTAAGATCCTTACAAAGATCTTAGGTGTTCAGCTTGAGCACGTGTGTTTACGTTCCAATTGTTCCACTGTTGAGAGGCACCTATTGGCTAGTATCTGTGACTGAGAACACACAGCACATTTTCCTCTTCCTCCTGCCCATTATGCTTTTATAACTCTCCCTTAAAATGAATACTTTGTAGAGGGACATAAGAAGAGCTCTGCTGGATGAGGCCAATGGCCCATCTTGGCCAGGATCCTGTTCTCACAGTGACCAACCAGATGCCCATAGGAAGAATGCAGGCGGGACCTCAGCACAACAGGTCCCTTCCTTTTATCCATCCTGAATCTTCCACCATTCATTGTCTTGGGATGGCCCCAAGTATTATGAAATGGGGAGAAAACCATATCTCCATCCACTTTCTCCATAACAAGCTTAATATTATACCTTTTCATCACATCTCTCCCTGTCCTTACATGCCTTGTTCTCTAAACTAAGAAGTCTCAAATGCTGCAAGCAACTCTTACAGGGGAGTTTCTCTTGATGATTTTTGCTCACTCTTTTCTGCTCTTTCCTCAACTCTCTTTTTGACATACCTATCCTCTGTGGCTCCCGAGCGTACAACAGCACGTTTAAGGCATGTACAGCTTTCTGCTACATCCTTGGTGCTCTGACATTTATTGCCTCCCTCATTGGCTAGTTTTGAAGTTTGTATGTATGCACACAAACTCCCACACCACCTTAAAAAGAAATCTTAACTGGTTTCCCCTCAAAAGGGCAGCGAGACCATCGCTGACTCCCCATTCCCCCTCTTTTATCTCCCCTTCCTCATATTCTGTGGTCACCAGAAACTGGAAAGATTGTGGGGTTGCAGGGATTGTGACCACTGCGTTCAAAAAAGAATCTTTGCAGTATAAGGGGTCCGAAGACCTATCTAGTCCTACCCCATAACTCCTATCAGATTCCCCATTCTTACCTTCGGTGCTGACTATAGCCAGCAGGAACACAGCACAGCAGATGAGAAGAACCCTCATGGTGGAAGTTTGGATTGGATCTCTCTCAGCAAGTCTCGGTGGCAGATGATCCGATGTAGGAGAAGTCTCCCAGAAGATCGGATGGAGAGTGTGGCCAGGAGCCACGGTATTTATGGGAGATTTGAAGAATGGAGCAGGAGGAGCTTGGAGGTGGGTGACGCCTCCATCATTGTTTCAGAGCATCATCGTGTCGCTCTGACCTCAATGGGGTGCAGTCAACGTGCATCACTCTTGTCGTTTTCCATTTGGAGTCTGTTTGGTGCCATTTCCCAGAACTCTGCAGTGTCCACATCCGGCCCCCAAGATGAAGTGGATAAGTGATGCCTGGACAGCATGTTCAGAGAGCTAAAAAAAATGTCAAGTGCACCTCAAATGAGAATAATAAGAGACGGGGAGATCATTATCACATCCTTTGAAGAGGATCTGGGAGGCAGAGAAACCTCAACAGAAAGTTCTCCATTGAGACCAGTGACATGTGGGTATAATGGCTCATTGTTGCAAATCTGAAGACTTCGGTAAACAGAGTTCCCAGAATGCTTTGCCTGAACGCTGTGCAGCCATCTGAAAGCTCATCAAACTTGAGGTGAATTTTTGCACAAATTGTGCCCAAACTGGGAACTTTTGAAAAATTAAACCAGCTTGTTGGCTACATAGAACTAGAACTGTGCCAATAAATTCAAAAAATAATTCTTTGTTTCAACTATTTACTGGGTGAGTTGGGGCGAAATGCGTAGCTGCCGAAAAACCATGGATGATTTTCTCCAGAATTCCCCAACTCCTCATACTTTTCAAGAAGCTTATAGATGACACCCAGTCTCAAACATCACACTAGTCTGGGCCATTATGGTTCAACTACTACTCTGGTGGCTTTTTTCTTTCTTAAAAAAAATGTATTTTCTGTGTACTTTCCTTGTACAGTGGTACCTTGGTTTACAACCGTAATCTGTTCTGGAGGTCCGTTTGTAAACCAAAACAGATTGTAACCCAAGGCACGCTTTTGCCAATGGGGCCTCCAATTTTTATTTTTATTTTTTGTAATCCAAAAAAAGGTTGCAAACCGGAACACACACTTCTGGGTTTGACATGTTTGTAATCCAAAACGTATGCAAACCAAGACATCTGCAAACCAAGATACCACTGTATTTCTATTCTTTTCTATTCCCGTAAAGATAGCAAACACACATACACACGCCTGCCAATATTAAGTACTTTGTTTCAGTTTTTGACTATGCATGTGTAGGACTAGATGTAATAATTCAAATTTATCCCTAAATTCCGTTATCTTTTATTATCTAGCTCTAGTCTACAATAGACAACACAGAAACCAAAGCTTAATGGTGGCTGTAAAAGAAGAAAAAATTATTTGCTTCTTGTAGTGAGGGAACCGCCAGAAGGCCCTCGGCGCTGGACCTCAGTGTCTGGGCAGAATGATGCGGGTGGAGACGCTCCTTCAGGTATACAGGAACCGTGGGTTAAGAACTTAATTCGTTCTGGAGGTCTGTTCTTAACCTGAAGCTGTTCTTAACCTGAGGTACCACTTTAGCTAATGGGGCCTCCCACTGCCGCCATGCCGCTGTCGTGAGATTTCTGTTCTCATCCTGAAGCAAAGTTCTTAACCTGAGGTACTATTTCTGGGTTAGCGGCGTCTGTAACCTGAAGCGTTTGTAACCCGAGGTACCACTGTACTGTGTCAGACATGCAGTTTGTTTGTTTGTTTGTTTGTTTGTTTGTTTGTTTATGTGTTTGCCTGGGACATTTTATTTTATATCTTAGACCTTATCATTCTCATAACAAGGGGTTGAATATTAAATTGCTCTGTTGGGTGGGGGGACTCCTAACAACCCTTAACAAACTACAGCTCCCATGGGGGAAGCCATGACTGTTTAAGGCAGCATCAATATATGGTGTACCTGTGACTTTCAGGCCCACAATATAGCCCAGGTATGAGCTGATTTTGAAAAACGATTGGGATTTTCCAAAAGCAGTTCACGGAGCTGAAAGAGGAAGTGGGAACCACTGTTACTCTCCCAACTTCCTTTCTTCTTTTTTTTGGAAAATAATATTTATTACTTTTCCAACAATTTAAACACTACAAAAACAATACAATACAATACAATACAAAAACACTACATAACACTAACACATTAAACACATTAAACTAACAAAACAAAACAAAAACCGTTTAAAACACATCAAACAATTTCAATATCTTTCATTCACTTATTTCCACGACCTCCTTCCACCTCTCTTTTTGTATTCCACTTCTGTTAATTGTTTCAGCAATTCCTTTCCATCTTCCTCTGTTTTCTATCCTATAATTATCTTAGCTCATTCTAACCTTATTTTTTCCTTTAATACTCTATTAATCTATTTATACTTAATTCCTTATAACATTTCTACTAAAGCCATATAACTTCATTCCAACATTTTTCTAACATTCATTAATTTTACAGTATTTCTGTAAATAGTCTTTAAACTTTTTCCAGTCTTCTTCCACAGACTCTTCTCCCTGGTCTCGGATTCTGCCAGTCATTTCCGCCAGTTCCATATAGTCCATCAACTTCATCTGCCATTCTTCCCGGGTGGGTAGATTTTGTGTCTTCCAATACTTCGCGATGAGTATTCTTGCTGCTGTTGTTGCATACATAAAAAAAGTTCTATCCTTCTTTGGCACCAATTGGCCGACCATGCCCAGGAGAAAGGCCTCTGGTTTCTTCAGGAAGGTATATTTAAATACCTTTTTCATTTCATTATAAATCATCTCCCAGAATGTCCTAGTCCTTGTCCAACTTCCTTTCTAAGGTAGAAAATGATAACCCCCTCTTACCAACGCATGACCAAGGGGGCAGTTAGTGTGTGTTTTGGGTGAGGGGGGGGAACGGCGTTCAGGGACTTTGGGGTCGCCAGGGAAGAACTCTGCTTGGTGTGTCAAACCCATGCATTTAAGACGAAGCCATGTGACT